TGCTCGTCCACAGGCATCAAGAATATAAAGCATGCGTGCCAGGAACTCAAGCCACCGGGACACGACTTGTTGAAGGCCGGGGCGCTCGCCGACTCGTGGCGAGTCCCCTACACAAGACGGGGGAGCATCCCACCTCCGACAAAACTCACCTCATCCAGTCCCTCACGCTGCCCCTACATCGCTGAGAAGTCACAGCATTCCGATTTGTAAGATAACCCTGTCTCCTGACCGCATTGCAGACTGCGATAGGCCGGGGCAGGAGGTGGATCGCCCTGCAGGGGCCGGGGGCCCGGCTGCATGGACGAGGGCAAAATATGCCAGCCCGCATTGCTCAGCTACCGCGGCCGCATGCCTGGCTGGAAGCTGGAACAGAAAGTATGGTGTTCTGTAATGTCATCGCACGGGTTCGAGCGTCACATACGTTCTTGGAGGTGCCTCCGCCTCGCCCATCGACGAAGATGAAGATTCCTGAGTTTACAACCCGGCGCGAACGCGGAGGAGGCAGCAGCCGGGGGGGCACACAGATTTCACACGGCACATCACCCCAAAGCCAGCCTTGTCATGGTTGCGTCAGCAGCCGCAGGGCGTCGTTGAGGTACCTGACCGCCGTCCGCACGTCCTCAAAGGACAGAGCGCTCGTGGCCGTCTTGGTCAACCTCTGCGCCTCGGTGATGGCTGCCAGGGAGGGCTCGAACCCGGGCACCGGGGCTGTAGTCGGCTCAGGCGGCCTGGCTGGCGGTCCCGCCGATGCAAGGCTGGAAGTTGCTGGCCGTGACGGCGGCGCGACCGGCGACCGCCCCAGCCCCTCCCCAATCTTGGGCTTGGGAGGGCTCGGGGGAGGCGGCGGCCGAGCCTCGCCCCCTGGTGGCGCTGGGACCCCCACATCCGAGGCTCCCTCGCCTTTCAGCCCCTCCAGCTCCTCCTCGCCGTCGCCAGGCATGCCCGGGGGTCCTGTCCCGAGTGCCTCAATCCTCTCGATGCTGGTGGTGGAGTAGGTACCGTCCGCCAGGCGCACGGCATACGATGGCGGCCTGTGGTGGCGCAAGGGTGGGCACGGTGATGATGTGTGGTGGGGATCATGCGCGGGCAACGAGTCGAGTGGGGGGCTTGATATCAACACACAACCCCGTTCACCCTTTCTTTGCGCGCCGCACCAGCGTGAGGAGTCCACCGCCGCGACGGTGGCGTCCATCGTCACTCCCCCTGGGGTGTGCACCAGCACATTCTCTCCGGTGGCCAGGTCTGGGACCAGGGCCTCAGCCCCGCAGGCCTCGATGCTGCCTGGAAGTTCATTGTTGTAAGGAGCTGTAGTGCAGCGATCCAAAGAGGCGATCGAGAAAGGGCACTGATAGTTTTTGAGGAAGAAGCTGGGCAGAGAGCTCCATCCTTTTCAGCCATCCCAAACAATTCCTCACCTGCGAGGGCCACAAAGTACTTTGCGGGTACCTGGGCGGACGTGGCGGGCGACACGCGCGCCACCGTCCCCTTGGCCGGCGCCGAGGCGCCCTCGGGGCAGAAGAGGACCTGCGGGGTGGGGTGAGAGGGCTTCATGGAGAGACGCACCGGGTGCTGACGGCATGCTGTTGGTGGCATGGCATCGTGGACTGATGTATCCCAGCCAGAATCCTCCCAGCCAGCAGCGCTAGCAATGCCGCAGACTGCTGCAGGGCACGTAGCTCAGGCCCTCTACGTCAATGACCTGCACCGCACCTTCTGGAAGGTGTAAAAGGCGCGAGGCGGCGGCGGCGTCCACACCATGCCCGAGATGGGGCGGGCCTGGCCGCCCAGTTCTCCGCTCCCCATGGGGGGAGAGAGGGGCGGGGAGGGGAGGCGCAGGGACCCCTCCTCCTCATCCTTTCCGTTGTGCTCCTGGTTGCGCCCTTGACCTCCAGCCTCTGGCCCCGCCGCCGGCCCCGGGCCAGGCAGGTCGGCTGAGTCGGCTGAGGGCCCAACACTGGTCCCGCTCCTCTGCACCGACGCGTCGTGGCGCGGGGGCACCGGGAAGTCATCCAGCTGCGAGGACAACTCATTCTTGGCCTCGGGCTCAGCACCACCCTGCGGCACGCTGGGCATGCTGGTCAGGGAGGCCAGCAGGGCCTCGTCCTCCTCGGTAACGGGGGCCTGGGCGGCCGAGGGCGGCGGGTCCGGCACTCGGCCCTCCGCCAGTGCCCGCCGGATCTCTGCCGCGCGCCAGGCAGCGAATCGCTGCTTGAGCAGGGTCTCCGGGGCCAGCTCGCCGAACTGGTTGATGATCTCCATGAAGATGCTGGCCGCGTAGTAGGTGAGCGCGGTGTTCTTGTCCGCCTGGCCCACCCGGTCCGCGCGGTCCGCACGCCCAAACACGGTCAGGGCAAAGGTCTCGCACAGGATGGCGTCGTCAGGCCCCAGCTCCAGGGCCTTCTTGTCATGCTCCAGGCTGGCGAGCAGGGTGTTGAGCAGGTCCTTGATGTCGGGTACCAGGTTGCTCACCCCCAGGCTCACGGCCTGTTGTACGGGCGTTGCGACAGATGGGTGGATGAATGGTAGCACTGATGCAGAGTTGTCAAAGTAAAGTGCAAGTCTGCAGGCTTCCCCGCACCTGAGACACCGCATAGAGGCGACAGTAGTAAGCGATCTTGGGCTCTGCCCGTGCCACCTCAGAGGCTCTCTGCGAGGGAGATCCAGTCACTTCCTCGACACGAAGATGCATTGTTAGCCATGATAATCACACATGCTACTCCCCCAACCCACCTGCAGGAATGGCAGGATCAGCTTCTTCTGCTCCTGCAGCGTCGACATGGCCCTTGGGTGTCTACTGTGCGATCGGCCCACCACTCTGCCACTGCGGCTCTGCAGAAACGTGAATGTTTTTGTTGAGCATGCAGCTATTCAATGATATGCTGCATCGCTTGGACTTTTTGTCAACGCGTCCTATGGGAGAGTTTTGCCCTTCCTCCGCGCCCACATCATGTCGCCCCGACACCACTAATCCCAGACCGGACGCGATCGACGGTCAAGGGGTGGCAATTTTATCTCGATTGTATATCTTCTCTCTTGACTATCCCATCAAGTATCTATCGGCTGCCCCGCCACCGCGGCCGTCCACCCCATGGCCGGTAACCTCGCCATGCAAGGGGCGTAGACGCAGCATCCAGCCACCTCCAGCTTCCGGCATGCACATTCTTCGCCTATCCTCCGCCTTGGCCCAGGCCGGGAGGGGTTCCTGGTCCCGCTCGATCGGGTCCAGGACTCTGGTTAACCAGACACACCCTCAGGCCGACCTGCGACAGCTCCTCGCCGCCCGGCATTATTCTGAGGATGGCGACGAAAAGGAGTCGGGCATGGGACGCATTTTTAAGTAGTGAGCTACCCTTGCTGGGCGGTCTTGGTGTGCTTGGCAGGGAGCAGGGATGGCCCTGACATGCCTGGTGCCGTGTCACTGAGCGCCTGGCGCTGCTGAGCAATGCAACTCACCACCAACCTCCCGCCCCCCCTCAACCCTTCCCCAGCTTCAAGAGCCAGGAGGCAGCGCCGCGCAATGGCTCCCGGCGCACCCCATCCGGAAGCGGCAACGGCGGCGGCAACGGCAGCGGCTCCCCCTCCGAGTCAGGCCAGGGCTCTGACGGCTCCGACGGCGCCTCCGCCCTGGTCCCCGCCTCGCCCGAGCAGCGCCACCGAGAGGTGATGGCCGTGGCGCTGTCCCGCCGCCCCCTCTTCCCCGGCGGGATCATGCCCGTCATCGTCAGCAACAACAAGCTGATCAAGGAGCTGTTCCAGCTGCGCAAGCAGAACGCGCAGGCCTATGTTGGCGCCTTCATGCAGCGCGTCCCCGATGCGCCCGGCACCGCCATGGACGGCGTGGAGGACGGTTCCTTTGCCGTCGACCTCCTGGGTGAGCAGGGTTGCTGGAGGATGTGTTCCTTGGATGGGATGCACATCATTCGTCGTTCCCTGCCCCACAGACACCTGATGTCTCCTGAGCCACCACTGCTCCACCTCTCCTTGACCCGCCACTCGCCGGTTTCCATCGATCATCCGATCACCTGCACAGGGAGCGCAGCCCCGCCGCACACAAACGACGATGCGGACGCCGACCCTGCCGCCGACCCGTCTGCCGCCCTGCACGAGGTGGGCACCTTCGCCCAGGTGCACGCCATCATCCCGCACGACCAGGGCGCGCAGCTGCTGCTGCTGGGCCACCGGCGGGTGCGGCGCACGGGGCTGGCGGGGCGCGACCCGCTGCGTGTGTCGGTGCAGCACCTGCGGGACGGGCGGTACGACCCCGAGCAGGACGAGCTGAAGGCCACGACCATGGAGATCATCTCCACCATCAAGGAGCTGCTGGCGCTGCACCCGCTGTACAACGAGCAGATGCGCAACTTCATCCAGTTCGGCGCCGACTTCCACGACCTCTCTCGGCTCAGCGACCTGGCCGCCAGCCTGACCACCGCCGACGCAGGGGCGCTGCAGGCCTGCCTAGAGGAGCTGGGCGTGGCGGAGCGCGCCGCCCAGGTCCTGCTGCTGGTCAAGAAGGAGGTGGAGCTGTGCCGCCTGCAGGCCGACATCGGGCGGCGCGTGGAGGAGAAGATCAGCAAGGACCAGCGCCGCTACTTCCTTATGGAGCAGCTGAAGAGCATCAAGAAGGAGCTGGGCCTGGAGAAGGACGAGAAGAGCGCCCTGGTGCAGAGGCGAGGGCTGCGTGGGGCTGTAGGGGAGTGGGTGAGGGGCGGCGGTGGGGGTTGCCTGACGCGGTGGGGTGGCGTGGGACCGGTGCCAGACCTCCCCCAACCACTCTCGATGCACAGGTTCCGGGAGAGGCTGGAGCCGCTGGGGAGCGGTGTGCCTGAGGATGTGCGGCGAGTGATCGAGGAGGAGCTGGAGAAGCTGCAGGCCATCGAACCCGCCTCCTCCGAGTTCAACGTCACGCGCAACTACCTGGACTGGCTCACCGCCCTGCCCTGGGGCAAGATCTCCACCGAGCGCCTGGACATCCCCGCCGCCCAGGAGGTGGGGGGAGAGGGGGCAGAGGAGGGGGGGTCCCGCTCGCGGAGGAGAGGGGCCTCATGGCTTCTACATCGGGAACGCTGCCAGGACAACAGCGGACGATGGCGGGTGGGAGTAGATCACTTCGGCCCTGCCTGCCAGGGACTATCATGCACAGAGGGGTACAGATGTCCCCATTCAGCAACCCGACAATGCTGACCAAACCTGGTTTGCAGGTCCTGGATGAGGACCACTATGGGCTCGATGATGTGAAGGAGCGGATCCTGGAGTTCATCGCCGTCGGCAAGCTGCGTGGCTCCACACAGGTGGGTGTTTGATGGAGGTGGCCGGGACGAGTGGCTGAAGTCATGCATTCCGTCAAACTCCATCTGACTCAGGCATCCAGCGTCTACCACTGTACTGGCCTGCAGGGTGAGAGTCTCATCAACTCCCATTCCTACGTCCCCCCTCCAACAGGGCAAGATCCTGTGCCTAGTGGGCCCGCCAGGCGTGGGCAAGACCTCTGTGGGGCGCAGCATCGCCCGAGCCCTGGACCGTAAGTACTACCGCTTCTCCGTAGGCGGCCTGAGCGACGTGGCGGAGATCAAGGGTGAGGGGAAGGAGGGTGCAAGGGAGGGGGCCCCATCTTATCACCATGGCGCTCGCCTGAAACCATGCCACTGAGAACCGGATCGATGGTCCTGCGCAGCTGCTACGCCCCTGGTCCATTCCTTTCCACTCATCCCATTGCCCTGCCTGCAATAGCCTCCCAGTTCCCTCCACCACCACCCCTCCTCATCGCTCAACAGGGCACAGGCGAACCTACGTCGGCGCCATGCCCGGCAAGATGGTGCAGTGCCTGAAGAACACGGGGATCAGCAACCCCTTTGTCCTGATCGACGAGATCGACAAGCTGGGTCGCGGCTACCAGGTGTGGTGATTAAAAGGGCGGTGGGAGTGCTAGGAGATGCCGGTTGTGAATCCTGGGGGCAGTCTTAGGGCCACACCAGTCTCAGATGGATGGCCCCTGTTGCATTCCCTGCATCAACCGGCTGCACGCCGTATTCACTGCCAGGCCCTTCTTCCTCAAACCCTCCTCAAACATGGCAATCCAACCCCTCCGTCCCACCTCATCCACACATCCATCTCGACCCAGGGCGACCCCGCCTCGGCCCTGCTGGAGCTGCTTGACCCGGAGCAAAACTCCTCCTTCCTGGACCACTACCTGGACGTGCCCGTGGACTTGTCCAAGGTGCTCTTCATGTGCACCGCCAACCTGCTGGACACCATCCCCGGCCCGCTGCTGGACCGCATGGAGGTCATCCGCCTCAGCGGCTACATCTTCGACGAGAAGGTGGCCATCGCCCGGCGGTACCTGGAGGTCCAGGCCCGCAAGGATGCGGGCGTGCCGCGTGGCGCCGTGCACATCACCGACGCCGCCATGACCGCCCTGGTCGAGGAGTACGCGAGGTGGGTGGGGTACCCGCCTGGCTGTGGCCCTGTCGGGCATGGATTGTGGGATTCGTGTTGGCACCAGTGTCTGAGTGGCACGACGCGGTACAGGTGGTGGACTGCGCTGATGAGGGACCTGGTGGGGAGGAGTCTACAAGCTCTGCGATGGGCTTTGCCGCATGGGGCTCAGGGTACGGATCCCTCCTCGAGCCCATGCCCCACTGTCAACCAGCGCACACAAACTGCATAACACCCTACAGGGAGGCCGGGGTGCGGAACCTGAAGAAGCAGCTGGAGAAGATCTACCGCAAGGCCGCGTTCCGGCTGGTCAAGGAGGGCCTGGTGGACATTCCTGTGGTGAAAGATGCGCAGGAGTCTGATGGGGAGGCGACGGAGGGCCCCGACACCCTGCCGCCCGGCACACCACCGACCGCCTCGATCCAGGGGGAGGTGCCGCCGCCCGCGGAGAGCGTGGAGCGTGAGCGCGTGGAGGAGGAGGCTCTGCCCGCCTTCGACGCCCCCGCGGTCACCGTGGATGCGGGCGACCTGGCGGCCCTGCTGGGCCCGCCCCCCTTCACCAGCGACAAGATCTACGCCTCGGCAACCCCACCCGGCGTGGTCATGGGCCTGGCCTGGACTGCCATGGGCGGCAGCACGCTGTACATCGAGGCCGCGGCGGTGGAGCGCGGCGAGGGCAAGGGCTCGCTGCGCACCACGGGCCAGCTGGGGGACGTGATGAAGGAAAGCGCGGCCATCGCGCACACCTACGCGCGGCGCGTGCTGCAGGCGCGCGGCGACGCCGCCTTCTTCGAGCAGTCGGCGCTGCACGTGCACGTCCCCGCCGGCGCCACGCCCAAGGACGGCCCCAGCGCGGGCTGCGCCATCGCCACCGCGCTGCTGTCGCTGGCGCTGGCGCGACCCGTGAGGCCCGACCTGGCCATGACGGGGGAGGTGACGCTGACGGGAAAGGTGCTGCCCATCGGGGGGGTGAAGGAGAAGACACTGGCCGCCAAGCGGTCAGGGGTGCGGCACATCCTGTTCCCGGAGGGCAACCGCCGAGACTGGGAGGAGCTGGCGGAGGTGCCTGAGGGGTGTGATTGTGGTTTGGCGGGGGCGCGCATCATGTGGGAGGGTGGCAGATGTACATCACACAGGGTGCCTGACGAAGCAGGGAGGCTGAAGGGGTTGGGCGACGCCCCTGTGAGCGCTGTGCGGCCTATCCAAAGGCATCCACCCACCGTTGCTGCCGAAATGTACAACCAAGCATTACAACACGGATTCCCTCCCTCGAACCACTCCATGCGACAGGACGTCAGGGCCGGGCTGGAGGTCCACTTTGTGGAGGAGTACCAGCAGGTCTTCGACCTGGCCCTGCCGGAGGAGGGCAGCGCATGACCAGCAGCGGAATGCGAGGCTCGGCCATCACGCGGACTTGTGCGCCCTCAGACGCATGCACAGCGCCCCTGCTGCGGCCAGTGTGGTTTTCCAGGGCGCGCATCCCTATGGAGCCGGTCCTCTGGGACTGACGCTGGGCAACATGCTGCATAGGACTGCCTTTCGCGGAGAATGCCGATCCCATCATGATAAATCGGGGCCGCCGCCGGTGCCCTCCTTGGCAGCCTTGATGAGCTGCTTCTCCCTGGAAATCTCTCGCGCAAGCTCGCGCTCCGTCTGCGTGCGGGAGCGGCAGAAAGGCGCTGAGGGTCTGTCCTTGCAGAGCACATGTGTGCATACTGAATGTAAAGTCCTCCCTCACCCTTCCCATATTGCACACACTGTCAAGCTGTCTGGACGCCGGCGCATCGCCCTCTGGACTCCACACCAGAACATCACCCAACTCACGTGCAGGGTTTGCACCTCGCGCTGCGTGGCGTATGTGAGCCCTAGAGCTGCCGCAAAAGCCACCGCCCACGATACCTTGTCCTGCGAGAGGGTGTGGGCAAAAAGCTCTTGTTCGAGGACGACAAACAGGGCACCGTACCTCCGCAATGATTGCCAAGTTGAATCAGCTAAACGCACCGCCCGCGATCTGAAGCTGAACACATTCCTCCAGAAACTGGGGGCCGGCTTGTATGACATGGTGCCGGCAGTATATATTATCGGCGCGAACCACGCTGACAGGCAGCTTTGCTTTGGTGAATTCGATACAGTCCGTTGCATGCACAGTGGTTTTCGGCATCAAGTGCAACCACTCCTCTACGTCCCGAAATGCTTCCCTGGGCGCGCTCTCACCCCTCAGTCAATGGACCCACGTTAGCAAAAACTGATAGGATGTCGGGCCTTCAGCGACACGAAATGGGTATATTCACACCCCGATGCTCGAATATGCTCTGAAGCAAAGTCTTTCAAATGTCGGATGTGCCTGTTGAGGACAGCCTCTGCACACCCAGGTCTGTCGCCGGTGTCGGGTCTCGTGCCTGGCGCACAGCGAGCCGAGCATTGGTCCCGGAATGCTTCACATTCCCTCACTTCCACACGCAGGCCCAATTCGGAGGCGTCCACCGAGCGCGTGGTGCTCAGCCTGACATGCACCGTCGGGGGTTGCAGGGTGTCCCTTCCCTTGCTCAGTCTCCCCCCTCGCAGCAGCCCGGGGCGGGCCGCCCCCGGTGTCGCCCCGCCACCCAGGCCGGCCACCCCTCCCCCTCCCCCCCAGCCTCAAGTCCCCCTTCCTGTCCCAGCTCCAGTCGGCGCTGCCCACCGGCACCACGGAGCGCCTGGGCAGCTGCGGCGAGCCCGTGGACGGCGTCTTCCTCCAGCGCTGGCTGTCGGCGCGCAAGGGTTCCGTCCCCGCCGCGGCCGCGGACATCACCGCCCACGCCGACTGGCGCTGGTCCTTCCTCGGGCCTCAGGGCGTGACCGTGGCTGATGTGGCCGCTGACCTGGCGGCGGGCAAGGCCTACTTCCAGGGCCTGTCGCGCGACGGCTGCCCGGTGCTGGTGCTGCGCGCCGCCCGCTTCTCCGGGGACGCACCGGACACGCAGGCCACCAAGCGCCTTATGTGCTTCCTCATGGACCGCGTTGGACCCATGCACGACCCTGTGCTCAACCCCCTGGGTCAGATGCGCGTCCTCTTCGACCTGTCAGGGTTTTTTAGGGGGGGGGGGTGGTTGTTGTTTTGGAGCAGGAGACGTGTGCGCAGGGGGAGGGGCAGGCTGGGTTTCGCTTGCAAGCATGCCCATACATGCTCCTGCCTGGCCCAATCTGCCCAGCCACATGCACCAAAGCCAGCCACTACCCCCCCGCAGGCCTGAATACGCGGGGCCTGGATGGGCTGTACAAGTCCCTGCTGGCAGTTTTCGAGGTCCTGCAGCAGCACTACCCCGAGCGCCTGCGCTGCCTGTACTTCCTCTCCGCGCCCATGCTCTTCTGGGGGGTCTGGCGCCTGCTCTCCGCGTTTGTGGACCCCGTCACGCGGGAGAAGATCCGATTCGTCCCCGGGGGGAACCGGGGCAAGGCAGAGCTGCTTGCCGACATCCCGGAGAAGGTCAGGGGGACGCTTCAATACGTGGGGAAGGCACAGTGCAGTGATCAAGGCTCATGCTTCCCTCCAAGCCCCCTCTGAGCAAAACCTCCTTGCCCGCCGCCCTCCATACCCGCTCGCAGGTGCTGCCAGACGCGTTTGGCGGGGCCGTGCCCTTTATACCGGTGCTGGAGGGCCTGAACCTGTGCCGGTCCGGGGCCTCGCCGCCGCGCGCCAGCCCCGTGGCCGACGCCCAACCGAGCAGGCGCGGTTCGGAGCACGGACTGGGCGCCGCACACGGGTTCAGGCCGTCTCGGTGGAGCGTGGCGCATGCGCTGCGCCTGCGCCGCCGCAGCGACAGCTGCAGCAGGGGCGGCGGGGAGGGGCCCGAGGCCGCAGCTCCAGGACTCCGCCGCCGCGCTCATGCCACCCACTCCCATGCCCCGCGCCGGCTGGCGGCGGCGCTGGCGGACCGGGGCACGCTGGGTCCGCGCAGCGTGGCCCTGCTCCTCCTCGCCTTCCTGCTCCTGCAGGCCCTGCTCTGGCGAGCGCTCTTCCCCGGGCACCAGTGGTGGGGCCGGGAGCACACCGGGCATGGCTCGTCCACGTCGCTGCTGGTGCTGTGAGCCCCAGCCTTCACGCGGGATAAGAATCTTGCTGCTTGACACGTGCCCTTCTTTGCCACCCGCTCTCTGCGATCGTCCCACTCTTACTCGCCTCCTTGTCAAGCTCTGGGCTGGAACATACTTTCATGATTTTCCTCTCTTCTCATCAACCACCCGGGTGCTCCTGCTCCCAGACGCCTTGAAAATTTTCATCTTCCCCTTCCAAGGCAATGGCTGTGGGCGCCTGATGCCCCCCTCTCCTACAGTGTAGGGTGCTCTCCTCATGACTTGCTCTTCTTGCTACTCACCCAACACCTGTCTCTCATGCTGCTGTACATATACAATGACCCTCAGCGAGAAGCCTGCCAGGCCGGCACAGGCGCAGGCCAGCCACCCACAAGTGTCGATCAACTGTCGCTCTTGCCTGGGCCCACTCTCCGCATGCGGGTCTCCCAGTCCGGAGATCGGAAGATCCTCTGCATCAGCTGGCGGTTGGACAGGTCCAGAGCATCCAGCTTGGTCCTCAGCACAAAGCGAGCCAGCCTCTCCCCGCGTGCATCCACCCTGGCAATGCGCAGCTGGGAGGGCTTATCCTCGTCGTTCTCGGCTACGTACACGTCGCCTGATGGGCCCCGGACCACCAGCGACACCACCTCCCCAGAGTATCTGTCCTTCACTGCCGAGAGGATGGGGTCAACGTCCAATACATCGGGAATGGACCCCCGGGACGGCGCCTCTGGCCTCCCAATCTGCGACGGCTCTGGGCCGGTGCCAAGCACAGATGCAAAGGTGAAGCCTGCTGCCAGCGTTATCCCTGCTGCCGTGCCGACCAGAAGCGCCCGCCGGGATCCCTGGGGTGCAGGGGGGGTTCAGGGCTTGATCCAGGGTTGGTGAGGACATGTGCTGAAATAGAGATGACCAATTGCCAGCGAGTGTTTGACGTGGGGCAGGGGGCGGTATACCTCAATCACTGGTTCAGCACTCCCTCCTTTTCCACCTCCCCGACAACTCGATCCTGTGCCTGGCCTCACCAGCAGGTCGAATGCGTCGCTCGGGGGTGGGAGGGGGGGGGGTGGGGGAGGGGGTGGAGGGGGACTTCTGTAGCCATATGGAGGAGGTCTCAAGGTGGGTACGGGCATGCTATTCTCTCTATCTTCATCTGGCTCTGCCCTGCCGACCGCCCATCCTGGTGGCGGTCTCTGCGAAGGAGTGAACGGTCTCGGTGCTAAGTGGTGCGTGCTATTCACGCTTGAACCCCCGATACCCGTGGAAAAACAGGGACGAAGGGTCGCCAGATACATTGTGTTGATCCAATGGATATTCCTGCACGATTTTGGTTCTTGAATGTGTTACAGCGTGTGTAATGGGGATGCGGTCCGCCACTCCCTAATGCGACGGAGGACGGAAAATGACGTGCGGGCGAATTCTCGGGGGGGGCTCTATCGCGAAATTTCGGTGACATGGGTTTCCATAGTGAAAACAATGACATGTATTTATTCCAGTATAAAGGGCAAGATGCTGGCAGGGCTTGGCCAGGCAGTAAGGTACTAGGGAGGGGATAACGGCTGGGGGCACTGACGAGCCAATAGAGAGCATCTCCTTGTGCAGCAGGAGGATGTTTTAGATTGCCCAAGCAAGACCTGAGTACTTGAGAGTCTATGCGTACACCACATCGCTGCGCAGGACCCACTTCTCGCCCGCCGCCACCTCAGCGCCTTCATGCAGCAGGCAGTCCCGGCCATGGCGATGCAGCAGCGCCAGGCCCGTCCGGGGGGAGACGGCAGCCAGCCGTTTCCCACGATTGTAGAACACCGTCTCCCCACCCTCCCCGGGCGTGGAGAGGTAGATGAGGACCGTGTACAGGGTAAACTTTCCGCCGCCAAGGTCATTGCTCTCATCGATGTGCCGGCCGAACCGCTGGCCGGGGCGGTACCGGTAGAACCTGAGGTTGGGGTTCAGGCCCACAGGTTGGGCCCCGGTGGTGGGGTCGCGCCCGAGAGTGCCCTGCAGACCCAGAGCGGTCCACAGCGTGTCTGCCCATGCCTGGTCCTGTATGCTCACACGGTCGTTGTCCCGGAAGGCCTGTCACGGGGTCCAGAGTATGAGGCTTGGAATGGACATGGTGCATGCTTTGTCGTCCAGAGGGGCACGGCGTGCAAGAATGAATGAATTCTCCTCAGTCCCCTCGCACCTCGCCGAACTTTGGTCCCCGGCTGGACTGGTGTGTCAAGCCCAGCGACTCGGCATACTCCACGATGCATGACGCCTCCTTGCTGCTCAGAACTTCGGTCACAGTGAATAGGTCCCGACCTGAGATCTCCTGGACCGCAGGGCTTTGCTTTGGAGAAACATGGGGTGGACCTTTCGGTCGGGCGCCACCTCGTTCCTTCCCCATGCTGTGGTGGCGCTGGATAGAGGTGCAGCTTATAGGAACAACACACATATGAATTAAATGTACCGAGCGGACTGTACGCCCTAGAATCGAGCGCTGCCACATGTTCATCACTGGCATGGGGCACTTCGCGCCCTGGCATGGGTGATGGGCACTCTCGATCGGAAGGACAGCACTTCAGAGCTGGGAAGTTATGACCAGTCCAAATCCCTCGCGTATGGTATAGAATCAGTATCAGAGAGGCAAACAGATGATTGCCCTCGGTTGTGTTTGCTGATTCGGGATCACGCGACCCCCTGCCACAACTGTTTCGACCCTCGACTGTGAAAAGCCTGCGCAGAGGCATGGCTCGCAGCCGGAGCAGGTCTCCGGATCGAGGGCAACGCCGACATAGATCCAGGAGCTACAGCAGGGATCAGTACCCCCGTGACGATTACCGACGACGGGAGGACGACAGGAGGGGTGTGGACAGGAGAGACGACTATCGGCGGGCCCCAGACCGTGATAGGTAGCCCAGGCAGGCCAGCGGTGTGGTGTTATGGAATGAAGCGTCATGAGCTTTAGGCGCAGGAGCTAGAAGGCCCGCAAGGGAGGGTATCGGGAGAGGGCTGGCAGGTCCAAATCTGACTCCAGAATGGAATTGCATTGCCGCTCTCAAGCCTGACCATGCCCCAGTCCTCCATGCAGGCGGTACGACGCCCCCCGGGATGCCTACCGTCGCCGGGACGACCAGCCCCACAGGCATTTGGAGGAGCGGGTGAGGGCCAGGAGCCCCCCCCGCCGCGATCGCAGCCTGTCCCCCCGGGTTCCCGCGAGGATCCGTTCACCACCGCACGAGCGGGCGGAGCGGGACAGGGGTCGAGATGCCAGCCCACTCGGCCATCCCTCCAGGGACGACAGACCCTCGCAGGGGCGGGACAGGCTCGACAGTGAACTGCGGCGCGACGATGCAGGCCATCCGCGCCCGGGCTTGGAAGCCCGGGCAGGCCCGGCCTCTATGGAGCGAGGGGAGGAGGACGAGGGTGGCCCCAGCGGCCCCCATCCCCGGCCGGCTGCTGCCAAGGCGGAGCCGCTGAGCCTGGAGGAGCTGCTGCGGAAGAAGGAGGCGGAGCGCGCGGCCCAGGCGCGCCCGGTGTTCATGAGCAAGAAAGCGCGGGAGGAGGCGGCGCTGGCCCGGCGCGCTGAGGAGGCGGCCGCCGCCCGCGCCAGGAATGCCGCTGTGCGCGCTGCGCTGGCCGGTCCAGCGCACGACGACGGGCCTCGGCCGGAGGATCGCGAGCGCGAGCGCCGGCCGCTGAGTAACAAGGAGCGAGAGGGCCAGGCCCACAAGGAGGTGCGTGGGGTTGCATTGAATTTGGGAATGAGTCCTCCAGTGTGCTCAGCCCAGCCAGCCCGACGCTCAACAGCTCACGTCCCTGTTGCAGGAGCGGGAGAGAGAAAGGGAGCTGGAGCTGATCAAGCAGCAGTATCTGGGCACGAACAAGCAGGTGCGGTGGGGGAAGCACATTTGTGGTGCTTGCTTGTCATCATCGATGCAGGAAGTTTGCCAGCAAATGTAGGCTCCGACAGTATCTCTAAAGCAGTCTCCCGCCCTCCCCACCTTGCAATTCTGCAGAAGAAAAAGGTGCTGAAGGCCACGGAGCGCTTCAAGTTTGTGTTTGACTGGGATGCCAAGGAGGACACGTCGCGGGACCTGAACCCCCTGTACCAGAACCTGCATGGTGAGGAGGGGCGAGGGTTGCTTGGGTGCCTGTGCGTTCCGCGATGTGAGGGTGTTGCTGTCGGGCAGATTCAGTGCCTGACAAGCTCATGTTCCCTGCAGCTCCCATGGGCACGCTGTACTTCTCGTCTGACCCTTGCGCCTCCCCCCCCGGACCACCCCCAACCGCACGCAGAGGCCAATCTGCTGTTCGGGCGCGGGTTCCGCGCCGGCATTGACCGGCGGGAGCAGAAGAAGGCTGCAGCAGGCCAGGAGGCGGAGCTTCTGCGCTCCCTGCGCAGCCGCACGGGCGCTCGGGAAAGCGTGGCGGACCGGGAGCGGGACGAGACGCGCGCTGCCGACGCGGATCGGTACGAGGGGCGCGACATGGCGGTGGACTCGCACTGGTCAGAGAAGAGTCGGGAGGAGATGACGGAGCGCGACTGGCGCATCTTCCGCGAGGACTTCAGCATCGGGTACAAGGGCACCAATGTACCCATGCCCCTGCGCAACTGGGAGGAGGCAAACTTCCCGGAGCCCTTGAGGAAGGTGGGAGGAGTTGGAGGGGTGGGGTTGGGGTGGGAGGGGTGGGGTTGGGGTGGGGTGGAGGATGGGGGAGGGAGGCAGTGTCAGTGCCTGGAAGTTGACATGCCTGCCGGCCCAAGGCACACTGCATAGCCAAAGCACTGCAACCACATGCCGTCCCATGCTGTGCCGGACCCTATGGCAGAGCAGTTTCTGAGTTTCTCTGTCGCCAACTCGCAGGCGGTGGAGAGGGCGGGGTACGCCAAGCCCTCGCCCATCCAGATGGCTGCCATCCCCCTGGGCATGCAGCAGCGAGACGTCATTGGCATCGCAGGTTGGCACGGGGGCTGTCTTTCTGAAGAGGGATGCCCAACCACGCTGCCTCTCTGTTATAGAGCTTGAAGATGCTAGTAGAAATTTTCATGAATCCAGCGTGCACCTTCACCCCCCTTACCCCGCCCGCTCTCGCAGAGACGGGTTCGGGGAAGACCGCCGCATTCGTACTGCCTATGCTGCAGTACATCATGCGTCAGCCCAAGATGCTGGGCAACCCGGAGGTGGAGGCGGAGGGCCCCTACGCCGTGGTCCTGGCCCCCACCCGCGAGCTGGCGCAGCAGGTTTCAGGGGGTTGAGGGTGCTGTTTGCTGGCGTGGGGGTGGGGAGTGTCGTGTGCTCGGTACCCATGGCATGAGGCTCCGGTGCTGCTCACCGAGGCCCTGTTCCACCCTTCCCTCTGACTCTCTGACCAAACACAGATTGAGGAGGAGACGCGGAGCCTGGCGCACTTCACCGACTTCCGCGTGGTGTCGGTGGTGGGCGGGCAAAGCATCGAGGAGCAGGGCTTTGCCCTGCGCAAGGGCTGCGAGATCGTGGTGGCCACGCCCGGGCGCCTGGTGGACTGCATCCAGCGCGCCTACGCCGTGCTGAACCAGTGCAACTACGTGGTGCTGGACGAGGCGGACCGCATGATCGACCTGGGATTCGAGCCGCAGGTCATGGGCGTGCTGGACGCCATGCCCTCCACCAACCTGAAGCCGGAGGGGGAGGAGGAGGTGGTGCTGGAGGCGGACCGCGTGTACCGCACCACCTACATGTTCTCCGCCACCATGCCCCTGGCCGTAGAGCGCCTGGCGCGGCGCTACCTTCGCAGGCCCACCGTGGTGAACATCGGCACCGCGGGCAAGGCCACCGACCTGGTGACCCAGCGCGTGGTCATGGTCAAGGAGAACGAGAAGCCCCACACCCTGGAGCAGGAGCTGGAGGTGAGGCGTGGGGGGAGGGGGGGGGGGGGGGAGGTGTTGTGTATGGGCGGCCCACTCAGGTGGCCGCATCGGCTTGAGAACAGAAGCCGGGGGGGTGCCATCTTCGCACATCACCCTCCCCTCCATCGCTTCCCATCACCAACCACCCCCCTCTCCTTTCAGGTGTTGTCGGACGACCAGCGCATCATCGTGTTTGTCAACACCAAGCGGCAGTGCGACGCCGTGGCGCGCCAGCTGGACGGGCTGGAGTACCGCTGCACCCTGCTGCATGGCGGCAAGACCCAGGACCAGCGCGAGGAGTCCATCAAGGTTTGTAGTACCGCTGGGCGAGCCTGCGGAGGGGGGCAATGGGATGGGGCAGGGGTGGTCCCCGGGCCTCTAGACAGATTGGCTGCAGGGCTCCTGACCTGCCCACTTCCTGGGTGTTGATTGTCTGTCTCAACCCTCTAACCCTCCTCTCAATCCACAGGGCTTCCGCGAGGACAAGTACAACGTGCTGGTCGCCACCGACGTAGCAGGGCGCGGCATCGACGTCCCCAACGTCGCGCTGGTGGTCAACTACGACATGCCCAACAACATCGAGGCGTACACGCACCGCATCGGGCGGACGGGGCGAGCTGGGCGGAAGGGCATCGCCGTCACCTTCCTGACTCTGTCGGTGAGCGGTGGTGAGGGGGGGGAGAGGTGGTGGGGCTGGGATTTTGGATGCGATGCAAGTGGATGGGGTTGATGTACGAGGCGGGGTGAGGTGTCTTGAAAGTGAATGGTTGGGAATCGCTTGGTCAAGCTGCACGCATCCTCAATGGGAGCTCTGGGTACAGGGGGTTGGCGCTCAGGGCAAGAGATGATGACTGAGCCACAGATGGGCCATCACAAGTCTTAGTCAGACGTCCATCACGCCGGGAACATTCGCACCAAAGCTCCCCCTACCCCCGTGCCACAACAGGACACCGAGGTGTTCTACGACTTCAAGAAGTTCCTGGAGGACAACAATGCCCCCGTTCCCGCGGCGCTGGCTTCGCACGAGGCGGCCAAGGCCAAACCGGGGGCGGTGGACACGCGCAGGAGCGCAGTCCAGTATGCCAAGAAGTAGGGGCCCTGGTGGACGGTCCTTCATGGGGTTCTGGGCAGGCTGACAGTGCTGTTGCTCCCCAGCATGTGTAACGACAGCTACCACGACCTTGAACCAAAAAGAGGTGACATGTCAACCAGCGATCTTCAGGACATCCACATAGTGCATCAAATGCCCACACATCAACACCTCTGTGACCCTCAAGCCCTTTCATCTCTGCGCTGTCCAAGGTGCACGAGGATGGATTAGAAGCACAGCGACAGTCAAACAGTGCACCCGCATCCGGGTATGGGACCGAGGCCAGGGTGGCAACAGGCTGGGCGCTCGAGGCGATGCCCGCCGCAAAACAATGAAACAACGATACACTCAGTGAGTGGCAGGCCTGCTCCACAGACGGGCAGCGCGCAGCAACCTCGTCTGCCCTGCTGCAGCGCCGACCTCAGGCGCGTCCCGCCCGCTGCTTCCACTTCTTGATCATGTCCTGCACCTTCTTGATCTCCTCCTTGCTGCCACCACCCTGAGTGGAGGCCGCCCCCGACTCAGACGTCTTCTGCCGGGCTGGCTCCTTGGCCGCCGCTGCAGCGCCATTTGTCGAGGTAGCCCTGCTGGCTTCGGCTGTCTTTGCCTCCCTCTCCTGTTGCTGCGCGGCAGCAGCAGCCTCCGCCTTCCTCTCCTCCTTCGCGTCTGCCTCAGCCTGGGCAGCCCTGGCTCGCTCTCGCTCTCGCTCCTCTGCCGCCTCCTGCTCGGCCTTCTTGCGTGCATCTGCCAACGCAGCAGCAGCACTCTCCTTCTGGCGCTCCGCCAGCTCAGCAGCCTTCGAAGCCGCGGCCTCCTTCTCTGCGGCCTGATCTGGGGTGGCTTGGGGTGGGGACAGGATCTGGTCGAGCCATGAGCGAGACCGGCCCTGCGCCTCTCCTGCTGGACGCTCAGGCTTGGATGGTGGTGAAGCAGCCTTCCTCTCTGCCGGTGCAGCCTGCATCATGGCATTGACGTGGGTGACAGGGCTCTGGGAACTCAGCGGATGATCGAGAGAGGGAAGCTGGATGATCTTCTCATTGCAATGGCAATAAGCTTGCTGGTCTCTCACTGCATGCACACGCATATCCAACTGAACACCTTCCTTGACAAATGACCGTACCTTGGCTGCCACGCTCTTGGTAGGAGTTGGCCGGGGGGCCGCCTTCTCTGCTGTTACTGGCTCCCTTGCCCTGGATGCAGGCTCAGACTTCCTCTCCACCCTTTCCCTCGGAGGTGCCCTGGAGACAGCCGATGGCCTAGGAACCGGGACAGCAGCTTGGGGTCAGACATCGGCATAATGTCCCATCCACGTCAATTGTCATCCAGAGGTCTTGCAGCTGCAAAGCAGTAGCTCTGAGCAGAAAACCAGAGCCCCCCTTACCGGCCCTCATCCAGAGCTGCCAGCAGCGACCGGATGTCCTCCTTGGGGGCATCCCGTGCGGCATCCACCTCGAGTACCTGAGCACAGGACAAAATGACATTCGATTTAGTGCCAGTAGGGCGTTGTTTGCAGCAAGTATACACTTGCAGGGAAGGTCATGTACTTTCCACTCAGCCTAACTCTGATCTAAATGCATTTCCGACAACCTCTGATGGGTAATACCTTATTACTGGAGGCAGAGATGTCGATGCTGGCTGCCACCACCTCTGCCACCTGCAGGCGGGAGACCTTCTTCCCGAGGGCACTGCGGGAGTCAGAAATTCTCACGTTGTTCTCCAGCTTGTAGTCGTCCCCAGCATCCTCCAAGTTACCTAGAGAGGGAATGCTTTGCGGGAGGGCCGTAAGGATGGAGCAATGTAGCAGAAGGATGGCATTGGCGAGGGGGATCTGAGTGCAGAGCACCCCCACCCATCTCCCCTTGTACTACATTCAGATCACTTCCGGCCAATTTTCCTGAGCCAACCTGGACGGATGATCGTGTAGTCGAGCCCTGAGCGCTGCAGGGCATCCTCTGCCAGTTTCTTGAATGTCAGAGCATTGCCTGTTGCCAGATTCAAAATTCCTGAGCAGGGGATAGGGCGGAGTGCAGGTCTTGGCTAAGACTGTAGCGGGCATGGGTCGAGTTTGGGAGGTCGCACCATACCCATGGTGATGCAGTCCCCACCTCCCTCAACTCCCAGCACAATGCTCAGGACAAGAACAGCTGAATACGTCGCTCCAGCGCCTCCCCCATTGCCATCTCCAGCCCCACCTGCAAGGAAGCCTCCGGAGCCTACACCTGCCGAAGACACCAGGGTGAATTTGCCGACTCCTGCCTCGGCCGCAGCCTGGACCAGTCTGACGGTTCCCTCGCCGTCAATGGAGCGGGCGTCGTTGCCCGTGGACCTTGCAGCCGACACGACCTGGATAGAAAAGGGGTTCTCAGAGTGGGCGGCACATGCACGGCTGGGGTGGTGAATTTTGGGGGGAGGGGCTGAGCATATGAGCCGCATGTACGGTGCGCACCCGAGCACGACCAGGCAAGGCAACGGCCCTTCTCACCGTGTTTGCGTTGCCAATGGCGCGCTGTAGGGCATCCACGTCATCGCGCAAGTCAAAAGGCACTATCTGTAGACGGCGCACTGCATCGGGGGCCAGCAGGCCGTAGGCAGCCGCCAAATCGGCATACTTCTGCAGGGATGTGAGCGCACAAGAAGTCTCTTAGTACTTGTGTTATCTTGGCATGACATGCCCCATTCACTGATGAGGTGCAACAAGCCTGGTATACACTGCATCCTCCATAACCCCCACCACCTGGAATCGCTCTCACCTCGGCCTCTTCGATGTTCCGTGCTCCGGCCCTCACTTTCTTCCCCGCATTCAGCAGCTCACGCACGATGCGCGCTCCCAATCTCCCAGTGGCTCCGGCAACAAAAACCTATGCATGTATGGGTTGTGAGATCATCCGATCATTGGAACAATCAAATATTAACAGGAGGAGGTGACGGTTCATCACGGCCCCAGGATCACAGCTTACCGTATTGGTGTCCCGCCTTCCAAAATTCTTGAGCAAGGACAAGCCAATCTGCTGAGACTCCTGAGCAACCTTCTTTGTGGTTGACCTGACACTTTCCTCTGCCTGGGCCTCAGGTTCCTTGCCTTTGAAGCCTGGCAGGCTGAAGCCTGGGGACGCAGCAGCGAGAGAGCAAGCGTGAGGTGATGTCACTGGCTTGCTGAGATAACCGACAACATTGAGGGACCCTGGTGGCATTGTATGAGGAGGCAAAATCCCATGCTCATACGATGTCCTCCTCCTTACCCAGTATCTTGTTGCCCTCTGCCTTGGCCGAAGGGCCGGCCCTCACCGAGGACAACCGCCGTCCTCTGCAGAAAGGGTGATTTCCAGAGTACCGTCAATATTATATTCGATGGGTTGTGACCCTGCTGACACATTGGGTTGGCATCGCAAATCACCTGCGAAGATGCGTCCTGGCAGCACTCTTGAAGAGTGACGAGGTCGAGGGTCCACCCATGCATGGCAGTGTTCCTGCATGGCCCGAGGCCTGGGAAGTCCTTGTCTTGATCATGGCTGGGCTATGGATAGTTCCAATGCGATCTTTGCTCGAATGATGACGATGAGGAATTTCTCTCTGAGCCGAAGGCAGATGCTCGGTGAAGAACTTGCAGCGAATCCTGTGAGTTTATCCTTTCGCGATCGGCATGCTGCGCGCGGAGAGCGCGCTTCATGGGGGAGGTCGAGTCCTCATGCTCGTTGCATACAGAAAACCATGTCACCCCCAGTGCTTATGAGAAAGAAGTTTATCCGGAGTTCGATCTGCCGCCCAGAATGTTGCGTGGTAGGCCGATGTAGCGGCATGTCGAAGAACCCTCTCCTCCTCACCTAGCATGCGTTTCGGGAGCTCGGGTACGATTGATGGACGGTGCTTCTTAAGGCAATGTGCACCCCCACCCGGAGCCTTGCATGGATCAGGTGAGGGATTGTCAAGTGAAAACTGGTGATTGGTGACACCGTGTGTTTTGTTGAGATAACAAGAAGGTCCAAAGACTCAGCATGTATGGGCCATGGAGCTTGCATTGCTGGAGTGGCCACTACCATCCGCACCATCCCCTCCCTGGCGCTACAGGTGCTGGGAGGGCAGGTGAACCCGTACATGCTATACTGCAGAAACTGCGCAGGCCGCAAAGGGCATGCACTGTGAATTGCCAGGGCAGTGTGAAAAGAGACCCAGTTATTTCCTGGCGGGTGCGGCCCCTGAATAAGGACGACAGCGACGAGATTTACCGGATTGCCTACATCCAAGTGCGTTGTCATTGTGTGGGCGCCTGGAGTTGCTGTATGGACCACATTGTGCCATGTTGAAGTTGCATCAATCCACCGTGCCTCGAAGGTCTTTGCCATGCACACTGTGTGGAGCTGCCGCCTGCAGTCCAAATATGCAGCATTTGTACGCTGCCCACATCCCCCCCCCCTCACCTCCCCTAACACACACAACAACAACAATCCACCGCAGGCTTCCTGCTTCCAGACCTCCCGGCACGTCCCCCTCGTGGGCCCCTTGCTGTACTGCAACTTCGCCGCCGAGGTGCTGAGCGAGATGAGGAAGAAAGCGCGGACCCCGCCGGACTACCCCTTCGCCTCGCTGGTGCTAGAGGAGCGGCGCTCGCGGGAGGTGGTGGGCGTGGTGGAGGTGTCGCGGGCCCGCCTGCAGGAGCTGCAGCGCAGCAAGGACCGCGCCTTCTTCCAAGCCTACATCTCCAGCATGGCGGTGGAGGACGCGTGGCGGCGCCGCGGCGGCGCCACCGCGCTGCTGGTGGCCGCGGAGGGCGTGGCGCGGGAGTGGGGCCAGGCGGAGGCCGCGCTGCACGTCTACGCCGACAACGGCGCCGGGATTGCGCTGTACACCGCCCGCGGCTACGCGCGCGCGGCCGCCGACGCCACCTGGCTGGCGGCCGTTGGTGTGCGGCCGCGGGTGCTGCTGACCAAGCGTCTGGAGTGATGGGGCCGAGGGTGTGTGATTCCAGGGTAGCCCAGCAGCGGCTGTCTTGCCGGGCTTCCAGGTCGAGCTCTGTGAATGACATCAGTGTTAAGTCTGGGCACTGCAGGGAGGAAGGTAGAACGGACGCGCACACAGACTCAAGGGGCCGCCGGTCCGATGGGTCGGTGCGCCGCCTTCCTCCCCCGCGCCACGCGGGCCTGCATGGACTGGCGCTTGGAGCGCTGCGCCAGGAGGTCCGCGTCGCTCACAAAGTCCACCACGCCGGGCCGGGCGGGCAGGACTGGGCGCGGGGCCTGGCCCGGCCTGCGATCCGGGCGCGCTGCTGCCTCAGACTCCGAGCCTGCACGGAGGCCTTTCCTCGGGCCGGCACTCTTGCCCTCCTCCTTGTTGCCCTTGCTCGTCCTGTCATGCTGCGGTGCGGGGGCTTCTGCCCCGCCCCGGAGCTCCTCCGCCTCTTTCGTCCTTCTTGCCTTTGTCGCCTTCGTGGCCCTTGTCCCCTCCCCCGCCTCCCCCGCCTCCGGCTCCGTCCGCCGTTTCTTCGCCTTGCGCAGCGCGGCCGCTGCTTTCATCGCCTCTCGCTCCGCCGCGTGCTGCGCAGCGAGCTCCGTGGGGCTCAGCATGGCCGTCAGGCAGGTGAGCCTCGCCCGGGTGTCCACCTCCGCCAGCGGCTGCGGCGCGGCGCCCCCCGCCCCCGCCCGGATGTCCTCCAGGTTCCAGAGCCGCAGGGTGCCGTCGCTCGACGCCGTGCCCACCAGCCTGGGAAGGGCGTGTGCTGTGCTAGGGCTCTTGCTGGCCTGGATCGAAGAGGACGCATCCGAGGCAGACGACTGGGGCGCAACGGCCAGGCCCCGGATGCGGCTGCCATGCGCCTCGGGGATGGTCAGGATCTCCGCCTCGTCCTGGGGATGGTGTCAGGGTGGGGGGGTGGGCGAGACGAGGCAGATGAGCAAGGGGACAGGGTCAAGCCAGACCGCAGAGCGACCGGACACCCGTCGCCCACAATGATGTATCGCCACCCCGCCAAGGCTCAGTCGCCGGCCCCGCACCGGTTTCCTCCCAGACTCCAGCCGGATCTGTTCAACCTCGCACCCTGCGGTATTCCCTACCTTTCCCTGCTCTGTGTGTGCAGGCCAGCACCTCCTCCTGGACTCCCTCCCATACACCCACTCACCGGGATGCTCCAGGCATGCAGCGAGCCGTCGTCGCACCCTGTCAGCAGCACGTCCTCGCCGTGGAAAGCGTGGCACAGCACCCGGCGCTCGTGGCTCAGCGTGGCCAGCGCGGTGCTGGACTCTGCCGCCACGCTGTGCATGCTGAGCACGGCCCCGGCCAGTAGCGCGTACACGTCGCCGCTGGGGCTGAAGGTGATGGCCTCCGCGGCCTGCGGCAGCTTGGTGGCGAACGTGCTGCGGCCCTTCACCAGGTCCCAGATGCGCAGCGTACCGTCCCTGGAGATGGAAAGCGCGACGCGGCCGGAGGGGTGCACCGCCACGCCCGTCACCTCCTTGGTGTGCGCCTTGAAGGTCTTCAGGCATGTCCACTCCCCGCCCACGCCCCAGATGGACAGCGAGCCGTCGGCGGAGCCGGTGAGGAGGTGCGTGGGGGTGCTGCGCCCCGTGGGGGTGTGGAACACAGCCGCCGTCACCGCGCCCTCGCCGGGGGCCATCAGGAAGCCCAGGTCCTTGTTGGTGCGCAGGTTGTAGATGTGAATGGTGTCCTCCGACCCGCCACATGCCAGGAATGGGCCCGCGGCAGCGATGCTCCGGATGGCGCCCTTGTGGGCTGGATGCGTGAAGGACTTTGTCAGCGAGGAGGTGGCCTGTGTGGGTGAGTGGGAGAGGGGAAGAGGGGAGGTCCTTTGGGAGGTCTTGTGATTCTCTCGAGTTGCCTCCCGAGTGGGTAGATGCCCACAGTAGCTCAAGCCATGCATATTCTCGAGAAGGCAATTCAGAAGGCGCAATTCGAAGCCCAATGAGGGCCTGCCAAACAATATTGCAATCGATCGTGAGATTAGCGTTCAGAGAAGAGCAGATGCTGGGGTGCTGAGAACGTCACAGGAGTACCGTCAAGCCCACCTGCTCCTGGTCCCATTCGAAGCCAAAGAGGAACCGCTCATAGGAACCAGCAGCAAACAGCATTTTAAAAGGGCTGGGAGCCGCAGATCTACCCTGTCCAAGAATTCTTCTACACCCCTCGGCGACCCCGGCGAGGGAGGGGAGTACCGGCACGCAAGCACAAGCTTCGACTGCCGGGCCTCCTCGTCTTCGATGGGAATATACTATGCGTCAAATGGGCTCGAAAATTACATGCAATATGGTTGATTACAGCACACATCCTCCTGTGCTTGGCAACACTGTAAAATTTCCAGCTCTGAAGCTCGGGCACAGACCATACTTGGCGGGACGTCCCATTTAGAAAGACGGAAAGCCAGTGTAAGCTGCCGGCGGGGTGCCAGAGTATACAGGCCTTTGGCCCGATCAAGCCCCCCTCTCCAGCCCCTCACCGGACTCAGGAAGCCTTTCATCATGAAGAACGACGAGGGCGAGGTCGTCGACCTGTACATCCCCCGCAAGTGGTGAGCCGGGGGACGCTACGGCCAGCGCCCTGGGTTAGCCTGAGGTGGTGGCGATGCCAGACGGTGCTGTTATACCCTAACGAGTGTTCCGAGGCCTCTGCCAAGTAGCGCCG